CTGCCTTCAGCTTATTCTTAGTCTTCTGCATACTATAATCTATGTATATGCACAAGAAAGGCTTGAGAAGCAGACTGAATAAGCAGGAAGCTGGAATAAACAATGAGGCAGGAACTGCAGGAAACTTAAGCATCTTTTCTTGCCTTTACTGCGCTGCCTTCCTTTTCATCCTTGTTTACTGCTGAACTTGGGATTCCTCCTACATTTGTATGAAATATGATTTCAGTGTCCTCTGTTCTGTGACCTCTTTCTGACAGCAGCATGACATGGCACATCTAATAGAGTGACTGTGGCACAACATCAAACAATTCTGAGTTTACTATCTTGAACACTTGTTTTCATATCAGATTTGGCAAATTTATATATGTAAAATTTCTTGCACACTTAATTTACACCTTTACACTTTATGTTGTTCGCTAAGTAATAAAAAGGTCCTAAATGCCCACTGATTCATCAGCTCCTACTCCCTACACTGGATATTCCATTTCCCTTTGCACAGGTAGTAGGACAGAAGCAAAAATTGCATTTTAATAAGCAAAACACTCAATAACCCAGTAATCCATGCACCTAGCAGCATCTCCGTCCCATTCATTTCAAGAAGAGTGATGTCCTTTGAAAAAAGAAACTATGAAACACTAACATTTGCTGACACTGAATTTACTTTGTGAAACAATGAAAATTTGACAGTGACGGGAAGGAGAGGAGTTAAACATAGATAGGGAGTAGTAGTTTTAGCCCAAATCAGCAAATCCCTTCTTGACACCTTGAAAAATACCTGATATAAGAGGAACAAATTTTTTAATCAAGATAATTACCCTCACACATCTTTTCCTATCCTTAAGTGTTTAACAAGGAACATCTTAGCTCTACTCCTTCTGAAGATCCAAACTGTAAGCAAAGAAACAGATTATGTTGTGAATTGCAACCCTTCTGCCTCACGAGAGAGGCTTTCCTGTTTGCATTGCAGACTTTTTTCTCCTGAAAATTATCTGTGCATTTAAAGATTAGGGTGAAAAAGCATCTACTACTCTTGAGATTTCACTAGAAACCATCTGGCCTTGCTTTTGGTTCAGCTGCACCAGAGAAGGTTTAGGTTGGATATTACAAAAAACATCTTCACCAAAAGGGTGGTCAATTCTACTACACACCATGGCATTTCAGCCCAGAACAAGAATATCTCAGCCAAATTCTCCGTCCTTTCTGAGAAATACGTCCTTTATGTCACAGAAACAAGCACTGTCAGTGCACAACAAAAAAGCCACAACCAGTTCTGCTCCTAAACTCAACCTCCAGCACAGCAAACACTGTCAGGGCAAAGGCACAGGTAGTAAGTGATCTTTAAAGGTTTCTTTTTAAAAGATGTATACATCTAAATCTGCTCTTGATCCACGGAGCTGAGAATTCCAAGCCTAGATTTTTCTACAGGTATCACCTCCCATACTGCCATAATAATCCTGCAAAACATCAGCTTTCACTCAGGAAAAAGTGTCTCCCAAGCACACAACAGCAGGGGTGATCTTGGAAACACAACCCAGGTGCAAACTCACAAAGTCTTAGCTGAAGAGGCTGCAAGCAACCTGAAACTACAGCAAACATCCCCATTCGCTTCTCTCAGGAGAGCCCTGCAACGCGGCAACTTGTCATGGACTTCAAGATTTTGCTAAAGCCAAATATTTTGGTTTCCTTTGCCCTTCCTGCTCTGCCAGGACTTGCCCTCAAGTTCTTTACATTCCTCAGTCTCCCCACAGTGAGGAGTGCATTGGAATAGGTGCAGCAAACAAGAACTGGACTCTAAGTTGTCATTAGGGAGTCTGCAGAGTCAAAATAATGGGATGAAAGAACACCCTAGAAGCTGGGTAAGTTGCCAAAATGGCACTTAAGAAAATCTCTGAAAATTATCCATAAATCATACAAGTTTTTATATTTTCAGCACCAAAACAGGTAAAAATCCATTTGTCATATTAAGTACAGATAAAAACATTCAAGTTTTATGGATGGAAGGAGAGTTTATGAAGATTTATACATTGATTTAGACCACAAAGTCTATTATTACCAGTGAGTTTTATTTACCTATAATTTCATTAAAGAGACCCCATTGTACTAGGTATCTTTCCTCTTCTAAAGGTGATACTGAACCTTCATGCAAAGTCATTTTGCTACACAAATGGACACTTATTTTCTCTCTGCTGGGATCATAAGTTAACAGCAGGAATCACACCTGAAGTTTGGGTGGGCAATTACTGTTATATTTTCACAATCTATTGCTGTTTTCCTTTCTGCTCAGCACAGAACAGACAGAAGTAAGAACAGAAACCATGCAAGAGCAAACTGAGAGAAAGAAGAGATCCAACAAGAAATGGAGGCTACTCTCTGACATTTTAAAAGGGCAAATTGAAAGCAATCAACACCCAACAGAACTCAATGTAAGATGAGGTGATAGCTTAGGCTATACTTAGGATAGTGTAATGAGGCTAACAAGTGCTGTGTGTTTTAATGTAAATTAACACAAGATAATCTCTTCACATATTTAAGTGATGCACTTCAAGTTAATTAATACATATTTAATAGAAGTCTTCTTGAACAGCTGTTATTTACTTCTGGAGTTTCTACACATTAGCACTGCCTGCTTTGTTCTGCTCTGAAGTTGTTCATGCTCCAAAGTACTTTAACAACTTGGGCTGTATAAAAATTGAACAGTCTTCCCAAAAGAGACAGCCTTTCTGATAACTTAATATTTTCACGTTAAATATTCAAACACTTTCTGAACAAAAGGTCAAATTCTACTTACAGCATCTGTGTGAAACAGGCAGGCAGATGCTTTATGCTGCTAGACAAATACTTTTGGCACAAAGAATGATATAGAGCTGGCGATCAGTCACATTTTCAGGCTTTAAAATCAGCTTTCCTTTACTTCTGTTCCCTAAACTCTGCACTTGCCATTCACGTGTAACAATACAGACCCAAACTAAGGCCTCTTTCCACAAGTATTACACAGTGGTGTGTTAAATGAAATCCTGACAGTGAAAGTGCTGTCTACAGCACTGACTGCATGTTATGAGTATTACACCAACTCATTAGGGCCTCTGCCTTAAACAGCTGCTGCACATGACATTACTGCCTTTACACCTTGCACACAGCACTGAAGAAGTTCTCACCTCCATTATTCAGGTGAAAATTCATTTGAGTTTCAAGCACTTCTGAGTTTTTAGGAATACGTAGAAACCAATTCAAAAAACATGCTGGTAACACATTTTCCCACTCACAGTGATGAATGTGAGTTTTGACAACAGTCACCAGTTTCTTTGAAAACAACTATCATCACTGAACCACTATCAATACACTGAACAAGCAGTGTATCAGTTGTTGTTTTCAGCTGACTACTTGAAGATTTTTACTCTTCTTACAGATGGAAAGTGCTCATTGCTTACAAGTCAGCCTTTCCAGCTTACAGGTTTACTGAAAATAACTTTCAAAATGGGCAACAATTGTATTAGTACATACCTGCTGGGACAACCTTCATTAAATCTTCTGCGCCATGATGTATGGAAACCTATACATATTGTGAAAGGCCCAAAAACAGTCCTAAACACACTGATTTTACTGATATCTATATTAATGCTTTAATTTAATGTAGTGTTTTTCACAATAGAGGGCATAAAATGCCACTCATTACTCAGGCTAAGGATTTAAAGACTAAACCAGATCAATGTTTTACCCGGTAAATAAGCTGTGGCTGAATGAATGTGTGTAAGACAGATTCAGAAGGCATCTTCATGACCCTTAAATAATTTTGCACCAGTAGCCTGGAGTTAGAGTTGCAGGTGCAAGGAATGAGGAGGATGACCTAAATTCTCCACCCACCACTCCCATGAGTGGGGCTGGTACAAGATTGGGTTGGGTGTCAGCTAGAATGAGATTCCTGACCCCCACAAGGCCACAGGAGTGCTCCTGCTGGCACCAGAGGAACCCGTGCTTGGGACCAGATTAAAATGCCTGTCAACAAAACAGCATCAGCCACAATAACCAGGCACCTGAAAGGATTTCTATGCATTGAAACTGTCAGTGTATTTAGGAGGAAAAGGGAGAAAAACCATGGTTGTCACAGGGTCTAAAGAATCTCTTTTCCAGCATTTCATTGCTTTTGATGGGAGTCGTGTGGGAGACTGACTGGCCCAGAAAACAGAAACCTGAGAAGACAATCTCAAACTGTGGTGTTCTAGAATCACCATTGTGTAAACAAAACTAAATTTCTTGAAAATCTTCTTGCCTTTGGAAGGAGGGGATGTCTCTCTTGTTCAGAGCAGCATGGGCACTCCGCCAGCTGACACAAAAACGTGTTTCTATACTTGCTTTGATATTTACAATATAACTTCCATTAGCATCAGCAGAAGCTTGATGCATAGACAAAGGAAAGAGAGAATTCCCAGAGGACAAACTTCGCTCCAAGTCCCAAGGAATGAAAACATGTGCCCACATTTTATACAGCCATGACATAACAGGTATTCTTTGGGTTCTTTGACTCTTCCTTAGAGCTGAAAGATCAAATTCATGAGGAATCTCTTGCAACATATACAGTGAGAGTGAGACTAATATTTTTCCTCTACATTTTACAGAAAAAATTAAAATCTGTGTTTACCTGTCAGCTTTGGTAGAAAGGTTTCTATCATACTTATGTATTGGAAGGAACCTGGCAGTTTTTAACATCACTAATACTAGCCTGGAGAGGCACAAAGCTGGAGGCACTTGCTGAAAAATAATAAACCTTTATTAAAATTTCCAATTTTTGCAAAAACATTTTGACTAAATTCCAACTCTACTTAAAATATATTAAATATTTACATTTATTTTCTAATAAGTATTGTAAGTAAATCAATATCCCAATTATCTTAAACTTCTGTGTTTCATACAATTACTTCACTTTTGTAATAAATGCACAATTTTAATGAAAAAATAATGATCTTGAACTTTAAAAGAGCCCTTCATTTGAAGAGATGAAAGTGCTGTACATCCATTCATTCATTATGTCTTACAGCCCCTGTGTGATGTAGGTACTATTATCGTTTTACAGATGGGGAACCTGAAAGGCTAATTAACTTGTCCAATTTACAATACTTTTAGCTGTAAACTTAGGGCATCCTATTGTACTTAAAGGCAAAACAGAACTCAGCTCTCCTGTGATGAACATTTACTGTAAATTCTTAAACTCCATAAGCATTTCAGTTGTAGGAGAGGATATATCACCCAAGCCTTCAGGATTGGGTTTGCATTGGTGATGGCTTTGAGCACCACAGAAATGTGCTGCCTGGAAACAAACATCAGAGCACCAGTTCACTGCAAAGTGTCACTGCGTTTCCCAGCTAGTTATGGAGGTGATGTGCATTTTTATTTGATGTTATTCACCATTCAGCCACACATTTGTGTTTTAATTCTGTACAATGTACCGTGCTGCATTTACATACACACACACAAGCAAATACTGTTTACTGACAAGCTCATTCCCTCAGTGGACTTATGTGCTCCATAAATTTCTTTACTCGGTCAGGATCAACAGCATTTGCCCAATAACCTTCTTTCTTGAAATACGAACCAATTATTAGAGCATCTGCATCCAAGTAATTCCCCACATTCTCCAGAGTCACTCCAGACCCAATCAGCACAGGAACCTTCACAGCTTGCTTAACCTCTGAAGAGAAGAAAACCAAAATTAGGGTTAAACCCTGTCTTTGAAACTCTATCGATAAAGACTTTCATTTGCCTAGTTTTTCAACAAAAAAAGGGATCATGAAATTCATTATCACAGCATTTATTACTTTACTACAGAATGAAACAAGTTCTCTAGAAAAAACACCTTTAGCTCTAAACAGCTGTTAAGAAAAAAAAAATCTCACTTTTTACATTATGTTCTATGAAACACTTCATATATTTGCTTGTATGAAAAACAGCTGTGATCATACAGACACCAGTGATAGCTCCAACCGGTGTTCCAGAAATCAAAAGCCAGAAAGAGAAGTGGTCTTTATCACTACTAGGAACGTCACGGAACAAAAAAGCCACTTATTTTTCCTTTATACAGTGTTAATTAATTATCTGACGTTTTACCTAGCTCCAAAAGGAGAAATAGGACAAAAAGAGGCTCAAAATATTATAGATTCACTTCATCTGTCAGGCAGAGGGGTGGATCTCAGCCCATGGTCCTGGTGAGCACGTTCACTGAGAAACGTGTGTTCTCCCAGACCTGACTGTGCAGAAACTGCTCCATGGCTCAGGTACCAGAGTTCACATCTTTTGGAATAAAACCGAAAAGGGATGGTTGTTTTGAGCATGGAAAGGTTCCCCATAGATAAATGAAATGTTGTTACAGTATTTGCTGCAGAACTTGGGTCAGTACTAGCTTGAGGGGAGGGAAGCCCAGTTCGAGCATCCTTCTCATCCTCTCATTTCAAACTGACCATCCTAAGAGTCACTCATAGGGCTGGATGCTTCATGCCTTAGAGAAACGTTGTGAGGCATTATTTCTGACTTTTAAAAACATATAAATTGGCTTAATTGGTGATTATCTGATGGAAGGTGGTTATAGCTTGAGGTAACTAGAGGAAAGCACATATGCAACAAATAAAAGTCTGCTTCAAAACACTGCTTAAATGAAATTTCATCACAAGCCTAACTTATTAATTATGTTTCAGGAAAGACTAATTATTTATCACCTTCCTACTTCACTGAAGAAAGAGGATCAATTAAAATGCTCTTGAATCTCTTTTTAGGTCATATGCCCTACCATTTTTCCATCTAGGAACAATAACCCCTTTTTTAAAACATTTTTACACAAAAATGAAACCATTCCACACAGCCCTTCCTGAAAATGTAAAACAGATCAGATGGATCATGCTAATACGATTGAAACTTTAGTTATTTCTATGCATATTTGATATTCTTAGTCATTCTGCTTACAGCAACAAAACAATTCATTTTTAGTTGTTTATAGCATGATTACTGATATCCTGTTCTAGAAAAATCAGATTTTTTTTTGTATAATATCTTTATGTTCTTAGAAATATCCTATCTGCTTTATACTGATACCAATGCAAAATTAAGGTGCTACAACTGACCACAGATTTGTGCAGCTGTACTTCAGTGTATCCCCAGAGGAACTGGGCTTCAAGTCAATATTTGTTTTCGTGACAAGTGCGTAAGGCACATTAGCAGGTAGTGGATTCATAATTATTTCACATCAGCAGGAAAAACGAGGAGCCAAATAATTAAACAGAGCATGTTCACGTGGGTCTGAGGCAAAGACTGAGCCCCACTAGGCAGAGGGAAAAACCCACTGAAACCTGAGACTGATCTGAAACTCTAAAACACCCCAAAGCTTTCCAAAGTAGCAAGGTATCCAACTGCTGCTGTGATCCACACATGACACGTGGAGTCCACACACATCTCCTGTGCTGGAGATTTATTCAGACTGACAACGTGAAGAACGGCAAAGGGAGCGCTCAGTGTGCAGCGAGACTGCGTTACCTCATTAGGAATGCTACAGATGCTACTTTTAAGTCCTTTCCAAGCACATCAAGCCTAAAGTTGATTAGTAGAAGGTGATTTGTCTATTGGCTGTGTTAATACCAACTCTAACCTGCAAAAGAAAATAAAGCAACAGCAGTGAGATGTGCTTTCATATGGCAATGTTCAGTCACTGTCAAAATGTCTCTAAACACAGAGCTTTGCTTTAAATCTCTCAGCTTTCTTGGCGTTCTTTTTCTGATTTTTTTTGACACAGTGAGAAAAAGGAGACAATTTTGTGATGTTACAGTAACAAGACTGAAGTTTACTCAACTAGCACGTTTCTCTGTTTCAATGGGCTGTAACTAGAGGGCACTGTGCTCTTTCTTGTGGCAGCACAGCTGCAGATAGGTCTTTAATAAAATCCAATGAAATAGCGCTTGGTTGCAAAGCACGATGAAAGCATTTGAACTATGGTATGCACAAGTTTCATGAAATAAAGGCCAAATGCTTCTAGCTTGGAAACAATGATGAAGAGCAGCGTAAAAATAAGCACCACGGTGCCAATAACTTGCTCGACTACTCTTCTTTAACAGCTTTTTCATTGCAGTGATCACTGTACCATACACAACACTATGTTTATGGTAATGCTCCACTGTAACACGTTTTTGGTTTTTAATTCAAAGGACTTGTTCTCTGCCATTAAATCTAGGGCTTAGAAAAAGTACTGATCACTCACATCTCCTGTTTATCTCTGAGGGTACCACAAAGGCAGCAGCCTCTATTTTGACCATCAAAAGGTGAGAGGGTGAATCAGTCTTGATGCCCCTTTTATGAACAATAATTAAGGAGGTGACAGTCATAGCCAGCTGTTGGATTTCATTATGTACCTGTTTTCCACTGGTTACTCAGCTGAGGCACTTTGCTTTGTGCAAAGAGATAACTGAGCAGTCATTACACAAAGCTTTGGTCACTTAAAATACAGACTGAATGAAAAGCAGGTATTGCAGCAGTTATATCCAAAAGAAAAAAATCTGGTAGATTCACACACTCCAACTAAAGAACATTCCACAAGGCAGCAAACTGGAACAAACTTCTACAACCTCTTAAATGAAAAGATGGTTTGTTAATGAATTACAATTGAAAACGCTCAGCTATAATTCTTGCTCCTTAACAACATGAAGTCTGGTTTTCAGACCTCATACTCCATCAACCGTTGGTGCTCTGGTGTGTCCAGGCAGCCCTGGAGCAAAGCCTGCCAGCCTCTGCAAGGAGAGGTGCTGGAAACTGCCTGTGAGAAAGCAGTGACACAAAGTACAAGCAGAGTTCTCTGGCTTGACAGGGAAACACTTCCCACAGCCCATCACAAGTCAGTCAATTCCACACAAAGACACAAAGGCAAAACCACTTCTGTATTACTGCACAACAAAGCTGAAAAAAAAGACATGACAAAAATCTCATCTGTCTCTCGGTTCTGCTTTCAAGAGATGCTTTGCAGTGTGATGAAAGGTGCCCAATTGTGTGTATCACTGTAAAACAGCACTTCCAGCCCTGCATAAATTCGTGAAGTGCAAAATTTCACTCACATCAACACCAACTTTGTAGCATGTAGATCCGATCCCTTTTAAGAATCTCCTGACATAGATATGCCTAATTTGTCATTTCCTTATACTGTGGAATATTGATTTTTAAGTTATTCTCTTAACTGTTTTAAGACAACACCCTTCTCATGAGAGGGCCTGCTAACATCCAAAATGCTGTGATCTAAGTAAAATAAACCCACCATCTGCAGACTCCTGCTTTCATAACACAAATCCAAACACAAAATTAATGTGTACTTCATTACAGCTGCCAACTCTGATTCATTTTGTTCTTTGGACCCAGAAGGAGAACAAGACAGAGACTGACATGTTTGTTCACATGAAAGAAAAGCAGAAGCCATGGTACTGTCTGGTTGAAAGTTCTGTGACAAAAAACCTCTGGGCCTACAGGTCAGGTTTTGCTCTGTGATGCAAGAAATCAGTGGAGGTTGCACATGCACATGTGAAAGCAGAATTTAACCTAGGATTTTGCCCAAAGGCTTATCAAATCCTTTTTTTAAATTATTTAATCTGCATAATACATTAACTGCAGGCAGGTCTGGAGCTCTAGATTAAAGAAATTTTGCAGTCTCTAAAGGATGCTTAGCTTTCATCATCACCTTTTCAATGTATCAACATTCATTTTAAATGCTCTTAAGCATGTATGATAGATATTAAACCCTGAAAACACTGAATGATTTCATGCTTGAGGTCCAGGTTATCTATGGCAAATAAAGTAAGTTTTTCATGCTGATCTGTTAACAAAAGTTGAATACAACACACTGCACTGGAACTTTCTGTGTTAAAGCATGTCAGAAAGAGGAAAACCTTAAAAATAGCCATTCTATTTTATGTAGTGAGACATTCAAATTCAAGCCATTAATCTAAATTAAAATTAGTGATGAAAATTAAATGTCCCCATGATGGAACTTTAATTCTAGCATGGGAGCAATACAGTTTCATAAAGACAGCCCAAACTTATGCCAATATAAAAATATGAAAAATCATAGCACTTCTGCAAAGGTCAGAACTCATAGGTCAAATGAGTCTCCCTTGATAAGAAGTCCACACCACTTAAAAATTATTTTGATGTTAATATCCTCCTATCTACCAATGAACTTGTATTCTTTCTGCAAATCTTCCAAGCAGTACTTTCCCTGGTATTACTGTTTGGAATGCTGCCTTATCAAAATGCCCCTTTCCTTGCAGGACTTTAATTTTCACTGTGAAAGGTTAAAATGCTCACCTCTTCAATGAAAAGATTCATAGTTAGTTAGATTCCTAATAAAGCTATAAAGTAGCTTTTTCTTCTATTAGGACCTTTTAGGAATTAAATAGTGATTTGTTTTTTGGTCATTTAAGCTACAGCATCACACAAAAGCTTGAAATAACTGTCATTTTTGTCCTGCCAAGCAGCTGTTTAGAAACATACCACAGCCAATCTGAATTGAACAGCATCTCAAACTGTATAAAACCAAACCCCACAGTGAAGTTTCTTCTCTTTCCTCTTTTTCAACTCCCCTCTTAAGGAACGTACAGGTTTCCCCTTAAGCGAATACATGGATTTCTGCATGAATTCCGAGTTCAGTGCCTGCTGGGCAGGCTCTGTGTGACATCCCTCACCTCGCAGCTCCCGGGGATCCGCGGGCAGTGCCGTGGCTGTGCCGGTCAGCACCACCCCATCGGCCAGGAACAGCTGGGCAGCCTCGGCCGTCTGGGCCACGCCGACATCGGCCGTCAGGGCATGGGCACTGCAACAGCAGGACTCTGGTTACTGTCAGCACACATCTGTCACACACATCCTGCAACATGGACTGTGTTTCCATCAGAACAACCAAAGGCAGGCTTTGAGAGCGAGGGCAAGTGTCCTGGCTTAAATTGGGAAGAAACATGGCAATCCAAGCAAGAGTTAAAAAACCAACCTCAACAACCATTTCCATCAGGGAAGCAGAACTGATGGGCCTGTTGCTCCAGGTCTCCTACCTCTAAAGAGTGATTGCTGAGTGTGAGCCACCAAGTGTCAATTGAGACGGCTGCTTACATGTCGAGCACCTGTGTTTCAGAAATGTTGAGCACACAGAGCTCTCTGACTTCAAGTGGGAGCTGTGGATGTTCATTCATAAATCAGATCCTGCTGCCTAGAACAGAATCAACAGCCTCCACGTCATTGCACAAGTCCAACTAACTGAAAGTATAGTTATTACCTATGATATAATCACAGGAATCATCTTACACAGCAATTACAAGCATCAATTACCTGCAACCCAGCTGTTCAACAGCAGGCTTTGATGTATGGGTGACACACTTTGAAACCTATAGCAATAGCAGCTATTAATTTAAACAGTCCTAAACTTGGAAAGAATTCCAGCCATTGCTGGTTCAACATCTGACTGTTGTTTCTGTATTTCCATCTAAATAGAAAACAGCTATGGCCAACATGTTGCACTTTTGAGGTGGTGAAGGCACCAACCTCCTCATGGATCAGTCTGTGGACAACACTTGGGAGAGGGCATGGTCTGGCCATATTCAGAGGCAGCACATTTGCCAGTGTATGGAAAAGGAAGTCATTCCCTTTCTGCAGCTGGTGAAAGGCAGGCTTAAGTACCTAACATATACAACGACATTGAAAAAGGGCTGAAGAGTAGTTGGCATCCTAAAACTCACACATGGAAGGTGGCTGCAACACAGCAAGCAGACTACAAAAATAGTCTGTCCTCATTTAAAGAACAGGAGCATAGCAGCTCTCAGTGGCAGGTGTATTTTTCTACATGAAAAACCTCAACCAACATTTTCTTCTGAGCTTATGAATCTGCCTGAAACAGGAACCTCTTTTCCTTTCTTAAAAAGCACACCCTTTGAACAATGGGAAGCATAACCAAATATCAATTCACCAGCTGTCAAGACTTAAAAAAAAAAAGGTGATATGATGTAATCAATTTCTTTTACAGAAAAGTCTAATGAAATGTATTTTATTTATATATATCAAAAATCATTAGAAAGAAAACACTCTGAAAGTACCTGAAAAGCTTAATTTGACCACACTGCTAGTTTACTTTCTCTTTTGAAATTTATTACTTGCTTATTATATATTTAAGATCTTCCAGACTTGGCTATTCTCATGATTACTCACATACTACACACAAACATTTTAATTAGGTTATTTAGCATGTATAATACATAGCACTTGAGCAGTTCTTCTGAGGAAAAAAAAAACAGAGTGACATCTAAATTGCTGAAAGTACATGTGACAGGTAAGATAAAGTAGCAGTAGAAAAGAAACTGTATTCATTTGTCATAAGTTTCTTCTGTTTGATAATCACAGAACATAACCTGTACATAGACAGCACTGATTTAGTAGAAGAAATCAGTATTATTGGCAGGAAAGAGAAGAAAGATTTTTAAAATGCCAAAATAAGATTTGGATGCTTTTATATGGAAACTGCTTACATGACTAAAAAATAACCTTAGATCCATAACCTCCAGAAACAAAATTTCCTTACACATAATAGGCATATACACAAGCCTATAAAATCTCACTTAATACCAGATGCAAGACTTTTAGTCTGCATTTTTAAATCCTAGATGTTAAACAACTACGAACTTCACAGATAGAGCAACCAGCAACTTAAAGGTGCAAATTTATTTTTAAATGTATCCCTCAACAGCATTGCAAGACCTTGCTTAAATAATAAACTCCCTATATCATTAATGGTCCTGACACTAAATTTGCCCTAATAATCAGAAAATGGGGAAAAATATAAGATCACAATTATATCCATATTTACAAAAAATATTGCTTATATTTACCTATGTTTCTTTTTAATATCAGCAAAAATTTGAACGTTCTCTGCTCCAACTTGTTTTCTGTATCGTAGCAGGTCACCTGCACAGGCATTTATAATCCCTTCATCAGCCACATGAGAAAACACAAACCCTTCAGCCCGGATAAAATCAAGACCTGAAAACAATAAAAAGCAGTATTTTAAAGACTGGAAAACAGAAATACCAAATCCAAACAAAAATCCACCTTACTGCCCTTCTTATTTGATGCCAACACAAGTTCTTCCATATGTTTGAGGACTAACCAACGTCACTTTTCCACAAATTTAAGTTTTACATGCTTTATTTTCACCCATATTCTGACCTCTTTCCATCTTACTACTTTTAGCTCCAACCTCTCCCATAAAGCACACCAATTTTCTCTCTATCCCCGTGGTTCCCTTCTTTCTCAGCCCCTCAGTTTGTTCCTGTGTGGCTCAGAAAAGGCAGCTGCACACCCTGCCCTGCCTCTTGCCCTGAGGTGCCAGTGGGCACACACTGACAGAGGAGCAGGTAGGTCAAAACACAGCTCCTTTATCCTTTTCTCTCCAAAAAGGGTCATTAACTTGCATCTCTTCCCTCTTTCAAGAAACTCTTTCATTCTATTACTTCTTTCCCAACATCTACTCCCCTGTTAAATGTGCCTCAAGTTGGCTATCAGGTCAAAAACCATCAAGGACACGGACACAGAGGAATAGCATTGTCATCTTTCTTTACGAAGTTAGGCATGAAAACACAGCCTGAAACACAACCCATCTGACTCCATCTTGGTGTAGCATGTTTTCTACACAGCACCACCTCAATAAATCACTTGTAGAGCTGTGTCAAAGGTATGAAAAGGTAAGGTTTGGGAAGGGCGAAATGTTTTCCACTGTATTTCAAACTTACTCTGACCATCAATTCTACCACGTCTCAGCAGCACGGCTTCCACCATATTCAGTAATGTTTTGCACTAGGAAGGTTTTGTGGGATAGATATTTAAGAGGAAGATTACAAACAATAATTACTTCACACAGGCCATTCATTGACTATCAGGGACCCTCTACACAGCCTTGAAATATCTGTGTTGTAATACTGAAGCCTTGGACCATAATGTAATAAGCCTGTAGTTGTAAGGCACAAGACTGAATCCTGACTCCCTTATTCTACTTCCCTGTTCTCCCAAGTCTTTCACAGTGCTGAAGTTTATTTCACCTGTCACTTAACATCTCTGCACAGAAGCTCTGCACTCATCTTGTGCAATTTTGCTGTTATTCCAGTTTGCTTTAGAGGGCTCTTCCAAGCCCTTCTGAAGCTCTGCTGCTGCTGCTCCAGCTTTGGAATCAGCTGCACGTTTAATTAGAGCTGACATCATACCAAGGAAAGCAATGCATGTGGAAGCAGCCATCAAGAATGCAGTCCCACCCACCAGAGAACTGCTTAGGCAACAGAGGCATCACCTTAGCACATTTCAGATACAAACAGAAATGATCTTGAAAATGTATTTACCAAATGACAAGGTGCCTGTTTATTTTAAAATTTCAGTTTTCACTCCCAAAGCCCTGAAGTTGCAGAAACAGCAGCTTATGCCTGATAGAGAAGAGCCTGTATTGCTTAGCAACACAGACTCCAGCTAACAAGAAACATCACAGACGGATGCCAAATGAAATGCAAGCTGTCCTGTGCCTTGAGATTAGTGGCTGAAAAGCACGGAATATTCTCAGGATCCAAAGTCAAGAGTGTGCCACAAGTACAGCTACAGGTGTTTGTAGACATCAGGTAATAAACACACTGCAAACAGCCTGATTGAGACTTCTGCATCTGGGAACAAAACCTATAGATTCTATTACAACACCCAAGCTTACAGAACAATTCAGAGTTAAATAAGAAAAATTATTTCTCTAATCACAAGACTATTGAAGGGACTAGAGACATGTTACACTTTCACAGCAGTCAATGTTTAACTCAGGACAGGAGCTATTCTTTGAGTAATTTCATTTATTAAGGTCACTGCTTACATGTTTGTTGACACTTGGTTTGTGTTTCCTTAATGTAGTAATTAAAGACTTTTTGCTGAACATTAGTATGGTACTTAGTTTAACAAGGCTGCACTCTCGATCTGGGTTTTTGGAGGCCATGAAAATAAAAATTTTAACCAAGTGTAATAGGTGCAGGCACCATATCATTATCCTTCTGTTTTATGAAGCCATAATCAGATTCCACTAATGAATTCATTTTTACGCTCATAAAGTTGTGAGAATGATACCACTGCTTACTTTCACATTTGGCAAGTTGAAAAGTAATAGCTGCTGAATAGTTACTAGGCAGTCCCATTTCTGACTTATATGGGAACAAAACATTTTGCAGTCTCACTGGAAAACAAGAACAGGAAGTTTCCAATGAAACCTAAAAACAGAATTTTAAGATTATGTTAAGAACATGGAATCAAGTGACCAGCCACAGCAAGGCCTGCTCAAGGAACTTGAGCTTATGTCTTTCTCAAAAGCAAGTCCCCCACTATTCTCCTACCATTGCCCCACACCTTTGCTGAAGCACCCAGAACAAACACAGTTTTGCTGGCATTCCATTCTTTAATGCCTAATTGAATAAATAAATGTTTCCTAAAGAACCAAATTAAATGAAAAAAAAAAAAAAAAAGAAAATCCCGACCTCCTCAGATGCCTCATCCCCTGATTTATGACTGTTATTTTCAGATCTATCTGCCAAGCTGCTGGGAAAATTCAGTAATTTCATCTGTTACTATTTGGCTACCCACAACACATTTATTAGCACAACCACATGTTGCTGAAGTTGAGCTTCTAGTCACACTGTAAACCTGCTGATTTTCCCCTGCCCTTTACAAAATAAAATCATTACCTTCTCCTAGAGACCATTTATAAATTCCCTGTGTGGTTCTCTTCAGGGTGGTTATTTCTACCAAAGATAGGAATTTCCACAGGGAAAATGAAATGACTGCATAGTAGTCATAGTACAAGATGCTACATATGCTTTTTAGCTAAAACACCTTTAGCAAGTTATTTTTGTAGTGAAAGCACCCAGGACTTGCTTTATTAATATCCACCTATTAAAATTGTATTGACACTAGAGTCACTACTAGGTTCCTACAGAAAAACTACTCAGAGATTTGCTGTCTACAAAGTAGCACTCACTTTACTATGATTTTGCTTAAAGTGATTTTTTTTTTTTGCTTTTCTGTTCAGTGAACTTGAGACAATCATTTTTAGAGAAGTGCAATGAAATGCATTAAACACAGGCCCTTCCTGGCTGGTGTTCTCCAGTTACAGAGCAAATAGTGCAGAACAGTAGTAGAGCTGAGCAAAACTCAAGCCCTCCAGGAATTCTCTCCCTCATTAATAATTGCTGAGAAGAGAAATGCATTGTTCCTGCACTATATCCCTTATTTAGAGATAATTTTTGCTCCTCAAAGGACACGTAACTCGTTAACAATCTGACCATTGCTTTTAAAAATAAGGTGTGTACTATTTTTGCAAACACCTATGTCCCTCAAGTGTCCCACATGAATGCAATCTCCAAAACCAAACTGGATTCTGTTAGTGTTTTTATTTTAGGTTTTCATACAGGTTCTGCTGTAGCAATAAAAATCAGGTTTTGTCAAGTAGCTTCGAAAATGGCAACTTCCGATTTCAGAGCACACAAAACAAATCTGAGACCAAAACACACATACTAACAAGAATGTAAAACTTTCAGAATATATTCAGCATAATTAAAACTGCCACTGCAGGTATGTTACCCTATATTATTTTACCTGAAGTGTGGTTTTCAGTGAACACCAGCATCTTCTGCCTGACTCTATAAAATTTTTAGAGTCAAAAATGTGCAACCTTACTGCAATCACATAAGCAATTTGGGCAAAAAACATGCATTAACTCTCAATTTATGAATTTAGGAAGTACAAGCTTTCCCCATTAAGTCAACCCCCATCTTTACATCACGGAATGTTACACATAAAAAACTAAAATTACTTCAGTAAGCAGTAGGAGCAGAAAGGTTAGCAAGTCTAGGATTCATGCAATAAAGATAGATTAATTTATATTTAATTCCCCCAAAATGCAATTTAAGTAGTTTGGCTATCTGTACATTCATTAGTTGTTATTATATAAAAAGCTTCATTCCATCCATTCATTAAAAGAGACAATGAAAACAGTAGTAGCAACAACATATTATTAGATGCTGAAACAGGATGCTTAACCACAGTGGGTTAAATTGATCCTCAAATACAATTTAGCTGAAGTAAATAGAGTTACACCAAAGGTAGCTTTTAGACATGAGTAGGTTTAAACTAATCACTACATTTAGACAGGTTTCACCAAGAAAGCTGCTGCAGCGGCCTTGGGATTTTCAGCTGCCTCCAACTGGAGCAGTGCACAAGTATCATCTATTACAATCAAGCAGGCATCTTCCTCAAAAATCTAATTTCTGCTTTTTCAGGGTACAGTGAGCTTTTCATGTCTCATTTTTCATGGTATCTATGTTAGTACAATGCGCAATTTGCAGAGAGTAAATGCCATGGCAAACAGCAGTAATAACTGATGAGTCATTTCTATTTACCTGCAGCCAGAGCCACTGCTACTGCCTGGTGGTTTGCAGCACTCAGGACCTGGACACCCAGTGGGAGATGGGGGCAGCTCTGTCTCACTGCAGCACCAACCACTGTCATTGCTGCTGTGACCTCGGGCCCGGGACACACCGTGTACGGGAGGTCGTGCATGTTTTCTACTATCAAGCCATCCTGGGGAGATTGTTATACAAAAAAATATGATTACGCCGTGCAAAAAGGAACTTTAAACACGTGGGTAGTTTACCCTCATCCTGTTTTGTATGAAGAGACATGCAAGTTTAAAGGTTTTCCTTCAGAGGCAGGGCTACCTGCAGTAAATTGTGTTGATGCATTTGATGCGGACGACCACTTATAGAAGTGCTTTCATCAACAGCACGGTATTCACAGGGAAATCATGAGGAGAAATAGATGTGGTTTTAATTATGCATTCATCAATTTGGTTTCCTTTGATCCATCCTAAAATGTGAACTATGGGCAAATGAGTTAAATCTTATACTTCATTAAAAATAGTGTAAAGTCAAATTTCAGTCATCCAAGGGGAATACAGGATATTGAGTATATTTGGATAACAGAGGATTTGGAGATAATCAGGGCAATTTTCAATGCAATTAATGTCAGAAAATAAGTGTTATTTTGGATAAATAAAGGAATTTTTTGTTTATTGTGTGTATTTGTAGTACGCCTAATACCATAGTATTAACTATTGATATTTCTCCCATTCCATATTCAGAATTACTGGAAGAAAGATATTGCTATTTATTATCTATTAGACCTCTCCTTCCACATGGACTACTCTCAGCAAACACTGGAGTGATGATAAAATACTCTGCTAATACAATTTATGCAATTTATTGAAAATCTTTGTACATTACCTGCTACCATGCACTTTTCCAATCACTGTATTCCAGAAAGTTTGCAACAACAAATCATATATAATTTTGTCAAGGACTAATAACAAAAGTAAAAATATAGCCTTGAAACATATTCCAGGCCTGATATTTTGCACTTGCAGTGAGAATATTAAAAGAAACTAGACATTTGTCATGAGCTTCATTCTAAAAATTCAAAAAGTTTAATAGACAAACTAACTGCACACATAGAAAATAAATTCTGCTCTCTGGAATCTTATCACACATCTTAATCCTTTAAAATGAGAGCTTTACATTTCAAAGATATTGTAACTGGACCAGAATAGAAAAAAACCAAACATTTGAGGGGGCAGGGAGGGAATACAAGTAGAGATTAAACATAGCAGCTTGGTTAATAATAACACAGAATGAAGAAAAGGAAGCAAAATAAAAATATTTCCTTTTTTGTAAACTTTCATATGTAATGCTTCTCTAATCTTTGTTGTAGTGTAGAAGCCCTTTTGGCAGGTAAGACAGTATATAAAATGCAGTCAGCATTTAATGGCTGAATTACAGGCTAAGCCACAGACATCATAAATGAACACCTAACACAGAGGATGAGGAGAACTGAGAATGGACATAATCTGATGAAACAACATGGTCAGCCCAAGCACATGACACACATATGTTCAGTGCACCAGGCCACAGCTGCCTTTCCCAAATTACTTACAGCTGAATATTTAAACACACAAAATACACGCTACCTAAAACACAAAGGGACACAACCTATTATGTGCAAGGTGACCTGCTATGAAGAGCACTTCACATTAAACCTATGCACTATTTGGTGCTTCATCAACATATTTAATTACATAATTCCAGTCCAAAAAAAACCTGAATTAAGAAAACTGGATAGGACAACCAACCAAAATATCTGTCCTTGACTTTGTTTCTATGTCCAATTCAATATGTAACACCCACACTTCTGTACCTGTGATGGGAAGTAGCCATGTGACAGAGATGACAACCTGCCCTAAGAAAACCCACAGCATTTGCAGAAATTGAAAGAAAAAAAAGCACAAATTTTTATTCAGTTCCTCTGGACTGAGATCAGGGCTGTTCCAACCAAACTGAACTGACCAAATAGTCTTGTACTTCAGGAACAACTACAGAATCCTTTGTGTACCAACAGAAAGAGAAATCCCATGGTCTTTTGCCCTCTCTACACATAAACAATCAGGTCAGGCTGAGCAAGAATACAAAGTTGGTCAGTAGTTGAATGTAGCAAAAGGATTAATGCAGAACTATAAAATTTTAACAAAACAAATTCAAAAAATGCAATGAACCATCAAACCCAGGTAATTCCTTGAGACCACAAAATCTGGAAGCCCTCGGCTCAAGAATGATCTACTTGGCAGACTTCACCAAAATCTGGGTATCTGGGAAACTCCAAGCTTATCATAAGGGCCAGGAGGACCTGCCAAACAGCAGCCCAAGGCTTTCAGGCAGCCAAGAATCCACCTCAACAGGACACATAGGAAGAAAGGTGACTGGGAATGGGACTTCAAATGTTCAGCTCCTAAAGAACCACACAGCAGCCAAAAAAGCAAGAGAATGGGCTGGCAGAATTCCATAGCAATTCCACAGTGAAATTGAGCTTTCTGTGAGTTGCTACTGCTTTGATAGTTCAGGATTTGCACAAAGCAAATTATTCCATTAGATAGATTAATGAATTAATTCATTTTAAAAATTATAAAAAACCTAGCCATAGTACTATGCATAACAAGTATCTGATTGAATTCCAGCTCAAAATGCAGGCATATGGGAGGACTCCAAAATTTCTCTCTTCTGCCTCAAACTTACTATCTTCACTTTTCAGCAACTGTCTCTTCCTATGGCCTGAAGGTCCACTATTACAGTGAATATTTTTGGTAGTACCTTAATAATGTGTTATTCTTTTGGTACCATCCAATAGACTACGTTCTTTTGCATAGTCTGTTTTGTTTAATTAAAAAAAGAACAACATATGTTCTGCAATACAGAAAGCTGAATTACAGAGGCATTAAGTCAAAGCTTTCTTTTACATTTTATATAAAAATATAACACCACAGATTTCTGTGTTTACTGAATTGATATGTATATAAGACAGACTTCTGTACTATCAGACAGCTAATTAAAATGGGGAGGAAAAAAAACAGTTATGCTAAATTAAAGTTCTTGGAACTTAAGCTTATAGTTTAGAAATCTATGGAAACAGCTACTGCATTATATCCTCCAAAGCAGAATTTATTTAGATAGTATGAGACAAAACTCTAGCAAATACCTTTTGTGTTCCTTTTCCATTCAATATTAAGATAACTCAAGTGTTGCTTATATGTAATAGCATTATTATAAGTAATTCTCAAACAATATATTTTCTTTTTAGGTTGAATTACTTCTGAAGTGCTACATGTGTGAAGTGCCCTTTGTATCACAGTCAGCTACCGAAAAATAGGTCATTTAAATAGCTCTCTGATTATATAGAGAAATAATTTCCTTAGCTTTATTCCACTTACAGAAACAACCTCTTAAAACACTTCAGCCCCACAGGCACCACAGAAGAAAAGCCTCAAAAATAGCCACAACACTATAAACCACAACAGATGCAACAGTTGTACAAGTTTTAACTGAGCATAGACTTAACATAACTTTTCCCCAGGGAAACTTTAACCCCATTGTTTCCCCCAAACAGAAAGGTTTTACCTGCAAACATGTGCACACCAACACACACCTTTGCAAGCTCAACAGCCCTGCTCCATCCAGCAGGAAGGAAAGGGGGAGTCTGCACCATACCTGTTATTCTACAGGCTCAGGTGTGTACAAAGGCTATTACAGCTTTTCCCTCACCACAGACATGTGCCCCTTATAAAGGAAATCAAGTGCCTTTGCAGAGCATTTAATTGCTGTATCTAAGCACAGCCTCCCAACAATTCCTTTAAAAACTCACCTCCAGAGCAGATCACTGCCTTAACAGAGGTAACTATCTTATGTTCTCCTGCACATACCATAGGAGACAGCTGTGGGGAGGTTTGTCTGCTGTTTTATTTTACTGTAATATAGTTAAGATTTGAAATGTTCACCTCTGTAATCCAGGTGATAACTACCTATGTTCTTCCATACAAGAATACTAGTTTATTCTGTCTCCACTGTTATTAAATTCTAAGCATTTTGAATTCCACTTATCACTGTAGTTATAAGAGTAGCAGGCTTAAAACTCTTCATTTAAAAAAAAAACAAAAAACAATGTAAAACATATACTGGCAACTGTTTTTAATGTCAGCTACTCAAGTAGCTACAGTCAGGAAACAGCAACCTGTAGTCAAATAATCTTTACCAATGAAATCAGAGGCAACTTGTGCTCTATTTTCTGGCTAGAAAGCAAGTGCCAGCCAGGCTGAATGGAATTAATAAAAGTTAACTTGAATATATATTTTGCATCTTTCTTAAACAAAAGCATGTACAAATTGGAGGGATTATAATGCCCCATACTCTGCTGCTTACAAAATCTTGTCTAGGGAATTTCATTATTTAGCAACACACGAGTACAAACCATATACATTTTGAGCACAGATGGCTTCCTAACTGAGCACTCACTTGTTTTCATTACTGTGCTCTAATATCACAAATCTTTCATATTTATTATGTTAAGCTGCTAATGTGTCAGACAAGTCACCTTCCTCTGAATATACCAGGATTTACTTCCAAGTGCAATGCGTATGGAGTGAGCAAGACCATATACTTCCTTTTTCCACATTAAGAGCAATTCAAGCAACTTAAGACAATATGTAAAACATCTAATAGCAGCAAATGGTTATGGATCTTCTTAAAGGGTACTGTAGGCGGCATTTGGAAACACTGTCAGTAGAAGCATCCATGGAAAAAAAAACCCTTTAAGTTTTTCTAGCTCTTCTTCCACAAGAAAAACAGACAGCTTAACAGTTCATTTGGAATACTGAGCAAGAAACACAATTCTCCCTAAAAAAGCAGGACAGTCTGGAAGAGTGGTGATCTCTGTGCAAAAGCTGGGAAGGTCCTGAAATATTTATCATGAAAACTTGCATTTCTCTTAAAGTACCAGAAAAACTAAAGAAGTGAATTGCAGAAAGCATTAGGCAACCCTACTGAACTTACAGAAGCTCTCCTGATTATCTCTGACATTTATAGCATTAATAAAGGATTTGTTTGTTATATTGCTGTAACACTATTCTATATAGACCTTTAGAATGAAGATTGCTGTGGAATGCATAGTGCCTTTTACAGGAAATAAACTAAGCATAACTTTAAGCCCTGAGTTTGTCCAAATGTGTAGAGAAATGACTGCATTCACCTCATCTGACAGGTAGGTTTAAAAATATATTTAAGTTCAAAGAATTGCCCAATTTATTACAACCGTTGAAAAGATGACGTTTAAAAGCCAAAGCAAAGTTTTGTGTTAGTACTGTTTTTAAAGCTTGTCTTAAAGCTGCTCCAGCTTTGTGCAGGCCAACAGTGTAAGTAACTGCTTCTGTACCCTCCCTCACCTTTGGGTATACTTGGTGTCTTCCCCCTGCTGCTACAGGATTCAAAGTGTAATTATTACGTAAGGGAAATGGGTAAACAGGCGGTGGAATGTGGGGCAATGACTTTATGAGTTATAGATTACTTGTGCAACCACCTCCTCTGACACAGGAAGACAGAGACTAGTATTTGCCACTCTTCTGACATAGATCAAATTACATTATATCTCATGGTGATACTGTAACAACAAAATATAAGGTGACTACAGAAAACAGAGCTATTTCACACCTGTTCTTTCAGCTGGCATGAAAAGGAAGAAAACTTACTCATTCTGTTCAACTTGCAGTTAAAGACTATTCTAACTGGGTGGACATCTTGCATGTGCTAATCTGGTTCACAGGCACTGAAGCCCACCTATGTAAACATCATTCTACCAGAATGCTGCTTGTCCTTTCAAAACAATTCTATTCTCAGCATTCTTGCCTAATTTAGCCTTACTAGCGCTCTGCCCATAACCTACTTCATGTGACTTGTCTTGCATTTTGACTTGGGTCTTTTATAATTTAGACTAAGCTCTTGCATTCAATTTTGTTCCCTCTGTAAAGTATCACTCTAGTTTATACATTAAACTGTTTCAACTTGCTTGTTATTGAAGTTTTGCTGAAAACAGCAGTGACTGTTTGTTCACTTAAGACATTTTCAGTCTTGTACACCACCATAAAATGTTCACAAAGCTGTGAGCAGGTCAAAGAAAAAGCACATCAACACCCCTAGACAAGGTGTAATGAAATGTTTAAAACATATCTGACCTTTCAAAAGGACACACACCCTGTTAAAATCTACTGACCTATGAAGATTACTACAGCACTTAAGGTCCAACAGCAATTCTGCCTCTTCTTGCCTCTAGCTGAGACTGCCCTTTTGGGCCTTCTCCTCTGGATGTGCAAAACAGAGGCATATTTGCTGCTGGGGCCCTGAAGAGTTAAAGAGGGCTGAGAAGGGCCTACCTAAGCTTTACTTTTTTAGTCCCTGAATTATCTGTGCTGTTTTGGTACAGACACAAAGGTGGGGTGATCCTGCACCCTACAGGTGCCTGAGGTATGGATGCAGTGTATCAGCTGTGCACATGGCAATCCTCCAGGACTCCATGAAACCAGAGTGCTGTACAGACCTAAAAATACAGTTGCTTGTCAGACTGGATGGATGAAGCATTCTACAGCCAGAGACCTAGAATGCCACCAACAATCCATGCTGCAGCCCACTTTCCTTTTTTTCTTCTTACCCCTTCAATGGACTTGACTCTTAGAAGTTGATGGTCATCCAACTTAACTTGAATTGTACAACTTGAATCTAAACTTCTTTAATTATTTTGGGTGCAAGTGATACTTATTTTATGGTTTTCTTTGTAATCTGGAAGGCCTACTTACTGTGTTGAAATAAAAGACGTGTATTTAGACATTTCCCTAAACCGTGTGGCTTAGGATGCTTTTGATGAAGTACCGGATCAATTTAAAATATTGGCTATGCAGAAGTGGTTTTGTTTAATGGCTGCCACAGGAAGAAAGAAACAAAACTTACAATTCCAGCATCCCTGTAAGCTTCTGCCTCTTGACAAGCTTGATCAACGATCTGGGTCAGCGGAAGAGAACTTCTTGGTGTCCCTGCAAGAATAATGCTGCATACTCCAGGGCACAAATCAAACACATGGGCAGTGACAGCTCTTGGGTAGGACAGCTACAGGGATTGGCAGGCTGAAATAGGGAGATACAGGGTAAACTTGCTAAAAGGCTGCTCTGTCTCCTTGTGACACACCTTAGTGACATCTCTTTCCTTAGCTGAACTTGGCACATCTGCTGTAACCATTCAGCTCCTAAATCTAATTCATAAACTTGAGGAATGTCTGCTATAATCCCTTACTGCACCAGGTCTGCTCTTAGCTTGCTATTCCTCCACTTATCATAATTTATCCTGCATTAATGATGTTCTGGACAGTACAACCTATGGGCAAGACCAACCTCTAGGTCTGCAGAATACCTGTGCTAAACACCAGTGAGTTTAAAATCAGTTAAAGCTATCTTGAATCTGCAAGGCTGATCCTATCTGACCTTCAGCATTAAGTGTTCCATAGCAGAAATGAACACACATGGATTTTGCTGGAGTTCCATGAGCTTTCATTAAGATCAACTCCAAAGTAGTTTCTGATATTTAGGCTCCTAAATCAGGCAGTGAGAATCTGAAATGGGGGCTGTGCTGAGCCCTCTGACAGCTTTGTCAGATTTCACAGCATGGGGAAGGCTGGACAGTGCCTGGAGGCTGCTTCTGGGAAAACGTGGAGCAGGGTGAGCTCTGGGCACCAGCCCGTCAAGGTTGCTGTGATCAGCTCCGCTCCCCCCGAGTCCTTGGAAAGGGGGACGGGGAGGCCAGGCTGGCACAGACCTGCCTGCTGTCTGAGCTTCCCACTGTGGGAGCTCTATCCAACCGGTACCCTGTCCTAATGCTTATTCGTGCAACTCACTGCTTCTTAAAACACTGAGCTCATCAACACCAAACCTTTGTTTTCTCAGCCTCGCTCCTTACGGGGAACCGTCTCCTGCCTTTTTTTACCTCTGAAACGGGGAGATGCCCAAACTTAGGGCACTTCACGAGCGGCCCGTGGCGGCGGCTGAAGGGACTGAAGAGGCTCCCAGCGGCGCGGGCTTTACTCGGGGAGGCCGCAGCCGGGCCAAGGGGTGACACCGGCGAGTGGGGACCCGGTCCTAGTCCTGGTCCCGGTTCGGGTCCGGGTGCGGATCCCGCTGGCCGTGCCGCCCGCCCAGCGCTTACCTGGCAGCGCTCCCACGTGCACCATCCCAATGACCGCCGCCTTCAGCCGCCCGAACAGCGCGGGCCGCCGCACGACCTGCGGGGAGGGGAAGGAGGGCGTGAGCGGAGCGGGACGGGGCCGGGACCGGAGTCGGGATTGGGATCGGGATCGGGATCAGGATCCCGGTCTCGTCCCCGCTACGCTCACCCCGGACATGTCCCACGTGCTGCGCCCCCCGCTTCCGGGTGCGCGTCATAACCCCGCCCCCTGTCCCGCCCCCTTCCCACACAGGCCCCGCCCTTCTCGTCCTTATCCCCGCCCCTTTCTTCCGGGCATCGCCCCTCTCGCTCTTGGCCCCGCCCCTTTGGCCCCCGGCCCCGCCCCTCCAGCCCCGCGCGCGGGCTCCGCGCCGCTCCCGCGCGCGGGCGGCCCCGCCCCGCCCGTCCCCGCGCGCGGGGCCTCCGCCCCCGGGCC